TAGTACTTATGTATTGATTCACACACCTATATAATAAATATTTTCTTTTTTAAATAAGCTACCCCCACGAAACCAAAGTCTTAGGTTTGTCCTTACTTATTAGGAAACTCGTTGTCAAACATAGTAGCTTTAAAATTAAAATAAGAGTCTTATATTGTTAGATATGGAAAAAGATAATACAAGTGAGTCAAATTAATGATTATAATAGTATTTTATACTTTAAGGTGCATTCCTCAATTTAGATGAATAAAATCAACACAAATTAATAGTAATTAAGGAGAAAAAAATAGGCTATTTTGTTTTCTTTTATTTCCGACATGTATCTTCTTTTATGGATAATTTTGTTTGAAACAGCTTAAAAGACTAAAATGTAGGCACCATTTTAGTTGTGATTTGAATCATAGTTTTGTATGTCATGGAAGACTAACCCATGTTGTCAAGCTTAATTGTATTTTTCATGATTTAGTCTTATTTGAGCCCTTTTGCAACAATTCATTCCTAAGAAAAATCTCTATCATACATTATTTGAGGTGAAAAAAAATTGAGATACAAGACTATTAGATCAAAATACGACCTTGGAACCCTTAGAACATAAGTTTTAATGCTAACAAACTTTAAAGAAATATTTTTCAAATCACATAGAAAGACAAACCAAATAAACGATTGGTTATGATGATGTGTAATCTCTCAAACAAATTCTAAGACAAATGCATTAAATATATATCATTTATGATGTCTACTAACCAAATCATCTTTGTCTATATTATTCCTTAACAAATTGAATGAATAAAAGTTTTTTTGGTACTTAAACTTCAAAAAGGAAGAAATATATGCCTTTTTTGTTAAAAAAAAAAAAGATAAATAGATATCTCAAAAATGTGTGAAGTCTCAAATAAAGTCATTTTCAATTAACATAAGCAACAATTACTCATGTTTTGTATCTTAAATGTAATAAACAGTCTTCTTGACTAGATAAGAAATGACAATTTGATGAAATGCATTTAATGTTCATATTTAATTCATCAATGAACATTTCTTTCTATAATAAAGGAAGGCGGAGAAAGATGAAACAAGCTTATGAGAAAAGCTTAAGGATTTGCAATAGTTATTTTCAAGAAGTACTTATATAAAAAAGTTTGAAGACTTGGACAGAAGAGTGAACAACATTTGTAAAAATTTAATTCATTATTTTTATATAATGTACTTAAATTCAATCAATTCAATATAGAAATATGTTTCAAATTTATATGTCCAAGTTTTTTATGTCAAATTCATCTTTCATCTCCTCTGGAAAACTAAATCAGTTACATTTTCTTAGCATAAATAATCAAGATCAATCTCAAAGAATTGTTTGTTTCTATAAGTAGTAAAAAGCATAAACTCATCATTTTGTTCGACTATACATTAATCCTTGTCAAAGAATGCAATATATCCACTATCACAAAATTAACTTATACTAAGTAGATTATACTTTAATCCTCCATCATATAACACATTATTAATAGTAGGTATAAAATTCTTACCAATCTTACCTATACCTCTGATCTTTCCTTTACCATTGCCTTTGAAAGAGATTGTTCCTTCATGAGGTTAAAGGTCTAGGAACATAGACCTTTCTCTCGTCATGTGTCACGAGCAATCACTGTCTAGATACTAGTGAAAATCTTTCTTTTTTTTCCCACCAAGGATATTTATAACAGAAATTATTTGATACTTTTTTACCCAAATCTTTTTGGCCCATTTTTCGTTAGTACCCTTGACCTCAAACTTTCTTCTCTATTTCTTTTTATTTCTACATATGTTAGGAGGATGATTGCTCTTTCCGTAGATATTACATAGAATATAGTCTTAGGTCTAGAGAATAATGTCTTTGACTCTGTCTTATTAAGCCCAAGACCAATTTTGTCAAATGACAGTCTTCTATGCTTTAAAAGGATATTCATTTTAGAAGATCCATCAACAAACTTAATAAGATCCCACATAAGTTGAGTTTTTACCTTGCGATATTATAACCTTAGGTGGTTCATTGCTTGTGATTTTGTGTTTGAGAATATGTATCTCTCTAATAGCATATGACAAATCATTATTGAGTTTTTCATTTTTTAATTCCAATAATTTGCATTTTTCTTTAAACATTTTATACTCAAGAGTGATCATGTGAGAGTTTGCTAGAAGAGTTTACTAGAAGAGTTTCATAAGATATCTTTTCTTCACCAGAACTTTCAAAAGAACTAAAACAAGAATTAGAGTCAAATTCTACCTTAAATCTTGTTGCATCTACATGTGTCATGGGACAAATATTGGCCTTCTCCTCATCTAAATTATTGTTGCTACTACTGTCCAGATCTCCCTAGGTGGCCATTAAACTTTTCTTGCCTTTCCTCTTGCTAGTCCATTACTTTATAAGTTAGGACATTCAACCTTTATATGTACAGACTTTTTACACTCATAGTAGATTACCTCTTTGCCTTTTTCTTGGGCAGGTCTCCAGAACCTATCTTTCTTTTTGTGAAAGTTCCTCAATCTTCCTTTCTTGTTCATGAACTTCTTGGACATGAGAGATATTTCATCATCCACTAAGTCTTCAGAACCTTCATCTAAGCTATTATGCTTAGACTCAACCTTTAGAATTTTACCTTTACCCCTCTACTTATTAGTTTCACTAGCTTTGAGAGCAACAGACATTAGCTTTCATATAATCCTTATTGTTTAGATGGAGTTCATGAACCCTCGAGGCTCCTAGAAGTTCATCTAGGTGGACTTGATGAACATTTTCATCTTGTCCATCTAACATGGGTAGTCTTCTTCATTAAAGGTTGGAGGCCTTGTAAGAAAAACTCCTTCAAGCAGGTACTAACCTTCACTACTTCCCATTTTAAGATTTTTTTCTTTAGAACGATTAGATGCTCAACCTCGTCAAAAGCCGAGCTCTAATACCAAACTATGGAGAAAAGAAATACACTAGAAAAGGGCTAAATAATGTTTATCAAAAAATTCAACACTTTTTGAACACAATGAAATAACCTTAAGAGTGTAGATAAAAAGTCAAGAGCAAAGGACACATTATTTTTATACTGGTTCATTTCAACTACCAAGACTACATCTAGTTTTTGATCAAGTTCCATTATCTTTTACAAAGATACAAGCATTATTTCACAAATCATTTCTGGCTCAACTCAAGTATTCTTTGACTTGTCTTTTCAAGCAAGTACCAACTTATTCTTTGAACAATGAAGCCTCTTCAAGTTTCAACAACCAAGTATTTTTTTTATATAATAAAACATCTTAAGGTTTCAAGCAATAACACAATGTTAAACTTGGAAAATCACTTGTTGTTTCATCTTACTGTTAAGACATGATACAACCAATTTAAGTACAATATTTCTTACATAAAGCATACGTTTTTACAATGAGTGTTATCTCTATCTTTCTTAGTCTTCAAACTTCTTTATATAGGTGCTTCATAAAGACGACCATTGCATATCCTCGAGCATCTCTCATAAGGTTGCTTCATTTATCTTTGTCTTCCTTCCTTATTGAGAAAAATGCTTATTGATGCATTAAATGTGTTTCACTAATTGATCACTTCTTATCTAATCAAGAAGACTACTTATCACCTTTAAGGTACCAAATGAAAGGAACTATTGTGTGTGTCAGTTAGAAATGACTTTTTCCTATAAGACCTTGCATGCTTCAAGGGATTTGTTTGTTCTTTTTTCTCTAACAAAAAAGACATGTCTCTGTCCCTTTTTGAAGTGCAAGTACTGAAGAAATTTTTTTTATTTATTTTAATTTGTTAAGAAATAACATAGACAAATATGATTTCGTTATTAGACATCATAAATGGCATATATTAAATGCATTTGTCTTACAAACAAAGTGGTTTGTTTGAGAGGCTACACATCATCATAATCGATCATCTACTCTAATTTGTCTTATAACATGATCTAAAAAACTTTTATTAGAAAAACGTCTAAATTTGTTAGCATTAAAATTGAAACCATGAAGGATTTAAGATTGTTTCTTGATCTAACAAATCTTCATGTTATTAATTGATTTTGTTACATATTAAGATTATGACCTAACTTTGTATAGCCATTTATGAGGACCCAAAATGTCATGCCCTTAATTAGTCATTGACTGAAGTCAATGACTTTGTAAGGAACTTAAGATTCCTAAATAAATAATTACACCTTCAAGAACAAAGTTACCTAGTTTCTACTTTGTTATATCTAAACGAAGTATCATTGGACTTAATAGTCTTTGGATCTCATACAAAAATATCTAACTTGTCTGTAACTCTTATAAACATTATCTCTTTGGTAAAATTATTACCGTGTCAGATTATCTTTTGTAAGCATCAGTTCGAATACCAACCAGCTTTAGAAGAACTTTATTCTAGACCCATTAAGCACACCATGACCAACATTTTTAAAACCTTAATAAAACATTAATTTTTACATTAAATACATCCATAAGAAATCGCAATTACACCATCAAGTCTATACTAGACAAATCAAAATTGAAACCACATTAAATATAATTTTCAAAAAATTATTATAAAAGCCAATAATTAATTATTTGTGTATATCTATAATTAAATGACAATTTTATTTTATTTTTTACACTATTAATACATTCTAATTTAATTCTTAAAATTAAAGGATAAAAATTACACAAAAAATATTACAAAGCTTAAAAACATTTAGTAATACAAAAGAGAACAATTTTATCGAGTAAAAAACATGATAATTTATTTACCACATAGGTCAACTAGTGTCATTCAATCCAACCAATGACTTTAAATTCAAGTTTTAGGAGAGAAAAAAAATTCAGTCCAAAATAATCCTAATTCAAACAAGATCATCTATCATATAAAATAACATAAAAAAGCATGAAATTTTAGCTAAATATATTTTTTATAACAATTAAAATATTTATTAGCTTTAACGCGTTGCATAAGGACGCATGAAAAGCAAATGGAAGGAAGAGACGATAGAGAAATTTGGATATAAACAAATAGTAATATATTTTATTTAATGAAGAATAAAAGCGAAAAAAGATGCGAACTCAGACGGTGATGACACAGTGGTGCACAAGAGCAGCGTTTGGGCACATGAGGATGAGCACCGCCAACGAAGACCTCGACGCTATTTTCAAACAGAAGCGCTTACTCCGAACGCAGGTCCGAAAGACCCTCAAAGCCATCGATCCCTCTCTCAGATCTCACCAAGGTATCTGAATCTCAAATCTCACTCACTCGTTACGCATCAACGCAAACATTTAATTTAACCTATTCTTCTCATTCCCTTATCTGAATCAGAAAACGCCGTTCAAGACGTTGTTTTGGGAGCGCCGTGGTTCAAATCCGCTCGCAGATTGTGCGCCTACATAAGCTGCGCCGCTCTACGCGAAGTCGACACGTACAAACTCCTGTCGCACATTTTGCAGCATGATAATGACGCTACTGGTGCGTCGCATTTTCTCACGCTATGTTTTTAACGCTGAAAACTTGTCACGTTTTTTAACCCCTTCCTCGGAAATATTGCAGGTGGGAAAAGAGTTTATGTGCCACGCGTGGAGGATAAGAACAGCCACATGCGTATGCTCCACATTTCGCGGATCGATGATCTTATTGCCAACTCTATGGACATCTTAGAACCAGCTCCGGTTGATGCTGATGGAAATCCGCGTGAAGATGGTACTTCCCTTGCCCTTTGTTTGCTGCTTTTGTTCTTTTCAAATTGGTTTCTAAAATTAGTAAAACAAACATTAACTTAGGGACTAAACCGATGGATATTTAATGCTTTGGAGATTAGTTATTTAATTTTATTACTTTAGGGACTTTATAAGTGTAATACTTGGAAGACCAAATTGATGGTTCATTCTTTCATTTCTGGCTCTTACTGCTTCATTTTATCAAGGTTTTAAATTGCAGTTGTGGCTATGGTTTTATGGCAATATTTAATATTGCAGATAATTAGGATCAAATGCAACTGATGTGGCTGCAATTGTTGTTGCGGCAAAATCATTGACGTTGTCGTTGTAAATGTGGTTGTGCACAATTTTAAAACTTTGCATTTTAGCTTCCACAGTTATAGTCAGCTTGCAAAAATAATTTGCTTAACTTTAAAATTCAAATTTTAATGTTTTGCATAATGGCACGATTATCAAGTCATACATTGTAACAGCACGTAAGGCTAATATTTGGGAATTTATTCTTCTTTTTATGTAAATTTTTAAATTTCTTGTTTTTCTATGGATCACTGCGAACAGTGTGTTGGTCACATAAATTTATAGGTTGTTTGGGCATTCTAATTGGGTTTCTTCTGCTAAAAGATATGAGTTCCTTTGTTTTATTTAAAGAGAAAACAAGTTAAAGCTTCACAATGACATAACTTTTACAAAGCCCCTTCCACAGACCGGATAAAAGTTATGTGCATCCTTCTCCCTATGTAGACTACTTTTGTGCATTTAATATATATTTTTTTAATAATTCTTGTAGGTTTGAATTCCATTTCATGTAATTTTAATAATCTTGATTGACCAATATCGACAATCATTTGAAAGATCTCTCCTTGGTACAGTTATGCAGGCGAATGATCCAGTTGATTTGTTCATTTTACCTGGTGAGCATCTTATTTCTGATTGAATTGCTATTGTCTAAGTTTGAATGTAGCTAATCATTTTCTGTTGTTTTTCTTCCCAGGACTGGCGTTTGACAGATCTGGAAGACGTTTAGGTCGTGGTGGAGGGTATGTTTTTTTATTTATCTCTTCTGTTTAAACAGTTGAAATTTGTCTGTGTTTATAAATTTTCAGTTGCACAGAATTTGTGAGTTGAATTAATAATTCTGGCCTGTCCTATAGTACCTACCAATATTGCTAAAACTTTGTTAGAATGGTGACTACTTTTCAGACTCTTATGCTTTATTCTGACATTTCACTTATTATATCCTGACCTATTATTTTGCCATTAATTCTATAAAAGCACAGTCCAAGGTTTGTTACACTTAATATGCCCCCTCTACAGTTACTATGATACCTTCCTGAAGAATTACCAAGACCTTGCAAAGACACGGAATTGGAAGCAACCCTTATTGGGTAAGCATTTCTTCCTTTCTAGGATACATATTTTGGTAGAACCAACCAAACCTACAAAATGTAGCATGATCAAGCTATTTGGCTTTGGATTTGCAGTTGCACTGTCATACTCCGAACAAATACTGGATGAAGGAGTAATACCTATGACTTCATCTGATTTTCCAGTTGATGCTCTTGTATCTCCAGAAGGTGTGATTCCGATCAGTACAGCTGCCTTAAACAGGTATCACTGAACAAACTCGTTTAGTTCTGGAATTTGTTAATGAGTGACAGTAGGATCCTTGTTAAGGAATTATAATTATAATTCAATTTTTAACCACAGATTCTAGAGACGAGTGGACGTTCCCCTTTAGGCTCAAATTTTAAAAACCATTTGTATTCAATCCTCAACCTGAACTGTTCCTCTCTTAACCCCGCTCACCTTGCCCTACCTCAACCTTGCCACTTTTGATTTGTTTTTTTGTTTATGATTAATGGACTGGTCTTGTGGATGGATGTTTAATTTAATTGTTTTCTGATTTGTTTTATGGTTTATGAATGTTCTTGAGGATTTATGGACTGTTCTTGTGGATGCATGTTGGATTACCCAGTGCTTGTTCTTCTGATAATCTTCTGTTTTTTTCCCTCTTTCTGGTTGATGGGTCTACCAAGTCTAAAACATTGTTATATTATAAACAACTGTATCTTATATAAGATACAATGCTTAAAATTAAGCAACTCACCATGCCACCTAGATTCTCCCTGATGGGGGAAAAATTGAAGATACAGTTGCATGAGTTTAAGATACAACCATTGTGGATGCTCTAGGAGCGTTGGTCTAAACACCTTTCATTTTTTGCTATGTTGAATTCTATCAATTTGAGTCATTTTAACTAAGTGAACAATTCCAGAATGGATGTCTGACACTGGACTTTCAAAGCTGATCCTTATACTTTCAATACTGCATCTTCAATAAAATTTTGTGGTTTCTTAAGTGTCGGCACCAGATATTTGGATCTGCGGTTTTGTGCAACAATTAAAGGGTAACCAATTGATCAAGTGACACTGGACTGCCCTGAATGATTGGCATCCATCCTTATTGGAAGTTTCAATACACTGGACTGCCCTGTAATGTTTGAACTATGAAGTTTGAAGTTAACTTTCTTAAAGCACTCGTGTTTCAGCAGCAGTGGCTATGCTTTAACTTATTGTATTGTTAATTATAGTGTTTATTGGGCTAGCGATATTTCCCAAACTTTCTTGTTTCTTGGTTCTTGGTTCAAAACCTCGAATATCTTGCATGCCCGAAGAGTCCCATCATCCCTTGATGAAAGGGCATAGGGAGTTAAATGCCATTTCAGAGCTAGTTATTCAAAAAAAAAAAAAATTGGACCATTTAATAGGTGTGATGTCTAATTTGTTGTGCGGAAATTGGAAATTGAGCTTGATTGGAGTTGACCAACGATTCACTAGCAAATGAGTCGAATATTGTTTGGAAAAGGTTTGTTTGTCTTGTATTATTTGGTTAGAATGTGACAAGTTATCCGTACTGTGGTGGGAAACTTTTCCATGCTATAACCGTGAATCATTTTTTTTTCTTAATATTTGTGAGTTGTATATTCTTATTTACTGAACTCTAGTTCACAAGTGTTTTCCATGCTACAACCACGAGCTCAACTTATTGAATCCAAATAGAATTAAAAAACAAAAACCATGAGCTACGTGACCTCGTTTAGTTTCCTAGCTAAACCGCAATGGTTTTTGGGATGAGCAATGTGATTGCATGATCCTTCTACTCATAACCACTAACAAACTACACAATGGACTTGAAGAAAGAATCAAAGAAATGGTTTTTGGTTTAAAAGAGTTCACGTAAACCACTCTAGTCTTCGATCAATTTTTGGAAATTCTATTTGGGGAAGTATTGTTGCTAGTATCGTTAATTATAATTACCATATATGTATGAATTAATAGTTGAAAACAATCTAAGCAGCTCCATATAAGTACTATTACGGGCGCTTATGCTGCTCGACTGAATCTTGAAATCGGGATTTGCTGCATGATCCATAATGACAATTAACAGTGTAAACAAACACAGGAGGGAGTACTATGAAAATTATGAAATTATGGAAGTTCTCATCTGATTGAAGAGAGAGGAGAGAAAATCAACTTAAGAGCATTTACAATGGAAGTTGTTTACGAGCAATTCTCATTCACTTTAAATGGGTCCTATTGTGTCACATTACTTATAAGTAATTTATATTATATTTTTACAATTTTTGCTCTAACGGGAATTGCTTATAAACACCTATACTTTTTTACAACTCATATTACACTTTTTGACAACTTACATTATACTTTATGATAAATTTTTAAAAAATTAATTATTATGGATAATATATAAATATGAATAATAAACAAAAAAAATACAATAGTAAAAAGAAATTACATAATAAAAAGAATTACCAAAAATTACAAAAAAATTAAATATAAAAACTAAGATTACATAATACTAGATAAGTTATTTATAACGACAAATTATTTATAATAATAAATACGCACTAATTTTCGTTATTATGATGTTCAAAACGTACCTAAATATGTTTCACCAAGTCGTGTTGTAGTTGTTAGTGTTGCTGGCTATCACGAAGATGTGCCCTCTTTTGTAAGTATGTTGTAGTAAAAATAGGATGAGGACCAATAGATACATTGGTAGTAAAGACTTCCTTACCACCATTATCATAATCAAAATTAATATTGTATGTGTGTCTCTCATCTTCAATTATCATGTTATGTAGTATGATGTGTGCATACATGATATTCTTCAAGCATGTTGCACAATTGCAAATCGAGATTGCAATACTCCGAATGCTCGTTCTACATCTTTTCTTGTCGATTCTTGTCGTTCGACAAATAATTTCCTCTTTTCTCCTTGCAAATCGAGATTGCAACACTTTTTTCTAACATTGCTTTTGTCGTATTATCCAATTCCTTTTTTTCGAAAGATGTTTTGTCAACCTTTGCTTTACTCTTTCTTTTCGCTGCTTTTTGACCTATTGGACTAGACATTGGTGTTGTTGAGTCATATTCTTAACAATAATTGGTTGCATGTGTTAGAAGACATTGAGTATTGCCCAGATTTAGAGATCTTTGATCTTTTAGAAGAGCTCTTCATTGATTCAGATTTCTATTTTGGCTCATCTCTTAATAATAACCATACATGCTCAAAATTGAATTTATCACCTACATCTTGTGATAGACTATGGTCAAGGCCAAGGAATCCAAGAGGTGATATCTTAAAAGAACCAAGAGGAATGAGATGATCTTAAAGACCTTTTTCATATGTTTGTATATATAGTAGTTTCTTTGTATAGGCTTATTTTTGTCTTTGTATTTGTGAGACACTTTACTTGCTTTCTATGAAGCACGGATACTTCAATTTGTTTCACGTATCCGTATCCGATACGTATCCGACACGATACTCTTGGATACTTCACCGATACGTGTCAATGAAGTATCCTAGCCTTTAAAAATATTATAAAAATTTTATTTAATTTTGATACTTTCAGATACTTCACCGATATTTATTAGTGATACGTATCAATAAAGTGTTCAAATTTTTGAAAAATTATGAAATATCCATTACAACTAAATAAGATATATAAACATGTTTAATATAGAAACATAGAATTATTGGTCATTGATGAACACGTATCTTACAAGTATCGTATCCTATATATTTTTAAATATCGTATCACCGTATCGGATACGTGTCGTATCCGATACGCATATCGTATCGGTGCATCATAGCTTGCTTTTAACTAGTGATTGTATATTGATTTTAGGGTGGGTTACTTGGAGAGTTTAACTCCATTTAACCTTCTTTGTTGATACATTCATTTTATATTTTTTCAGTAGGGAAAAAGGGGTAGCATTTAGTAATGCTTGAGGGTGTGACTAGTAATTGGGCCAGAACTGGGCCTAGGCAAAATTTTGCATATTAGACTCATTTTGCTCCTAATTTTTCATAGATTTGATTTAGCTAGGTCTCGTCGTCATATGATGAACCTAACTAAATCAAATCAAATATTTTTGAAATAAATCATAGAGCATTTTTGAGCCTTGGCCGCCTAGCTCATTCCTTTTGTTCTTGGCCGAAATTTCTAGCTTCTCTTACAAGCTTTGAAGTTTGCCTTCCAAGCTTCTAAACTTAGTAGGTTTGGCTGACCTTACCATGGTTCTTAAGTGAACCATGGTCAAGGTTAGCTTCTCTTACAAGTTTTAGAAACCATGGATGGTTAGCTACAGCTTACCATGGTTCCTAGTGAACCATGGTTAAGGTTAGCTTCCTCTACAAGCTACCTCTCCCTATATATTTCTAAATTGCTCATTGTACTTCAATTTTTGAGATATGAAATCAGAATTTGACTCAAATTCTCTTCTCTTAAAGTCCTAAATTTCGTGGAGAAACTTTCTCTCTAAGTTTCTCTCAAAGGTTTCCAACCTTTTAGCTTGTTCAACAAGCTTCATCACTCTTTCATGGAGTAATCGAACCTCCTTGGTGATTCTCCTCCATTGGAGATTGCTTCATGGAGCTTCAAGTGTTGTTTTGAAGATTTACCTCAAGAGTATTTTGGTCCTATACAAGGAAGCTTGGATGAACAACAATCTTCACCAAGGAGTTCCATCATCTTGTGAGTAAGTTTTATATGCATTTGCCATGATTTTTTTTTGTTTTGAGTTGCCACTTTTTTTTTTTATCACGAGCTTGTTTATAACATCTGACAAATAATTGAACTACTTTATTGATTCGAGATCAATGACTTTTTAACTAACCTGGATTCCTTTCTGCAAATTGATTACGATTGTTGTTATAGTTCTCTTTGATTCTTATCCATAAACTATTTTCAGTTTGATCATCTCCCATAATTGGATCATTTGAAATGTTGAGCCATGATTGAATAAGTAGATTATCCTCTTCGATAGAAAAACTAACACATGATTTTTTTAGTACATATTTCTTCTCCTTGTTGTCCTCCTACATCAAGTGTGATGTTCTCTAGCCCAACTTGACACTCAGATATTGAACCAATTGGTGAATCTGTTTCTCAATCTAATGACTCCATAACTTTTTTGGAAAACATTGAAGGCCTATGAAACATATTAGGATTGGTTGGTATTGGTGGTGGATACATAAAAAAATGGGGATTCAGAGAATTATCATTGGTAGAGTGTGGTGATGGTGGGTATATAAAAAAATGAGGATATTGAGAATTTTCACCGGAAGGGGGTGGAGGTGGTGCTTGGTTTTGTAAATAATTAAAATAACTTTGAAAATTATATTGATTGGGATCCATGTGCTAGAACACACAAAAAAATTGCATATGAATAACAATAAAATAGGCGATTTTTTTTAAGCCCCCTGTTTGTTTTAGGGGATTTACTGTTCACGACGAACGAATGGTGAAGAAACTTGACGTTTGTTTCCACTGATTTGCACCGAAAGAAGCGAAGAAAAGTGGGAGAACCCGCATGGCCGTTCCTCATGAAGTTGTGAAGAAAAGAGATGAAAGCCACGTAAGAAATGAGAAAACCCGATAATACCCCTGCCCAAAAGTTGAAAAGAGATGAAGCTCTGTCATGCTCATGCATGCAGAGACTATGCCATGCAGCAAAGGAATCTCTGCCATGGTTCACGAGTCTTTGTCCTTCGTTTGAATGGCATAGTAACGCGTTTGAAATGGGGCTGAATGGGTCTCACTAGTCACGCATTTATAAGAGACTTGGAAGCTCTGTGTGTGCTGTGTGCTCGTGCGAGGGTGGTTGTTGCTGTAGTGATTCTCGACGGGGTAGCCATTGAAGGTAAGTTTCATTTCTTTATGCATGAGGGAGGGTAGCCGAGGTATGAGAATGAAGAATGGAGGGTAAACCGCGGTGAAAAACTGGACTCCCAGCCAGCATAATCGATTATGCATGGCACATAATCGATTATGCCTCAGCATAATCGATTATGCCAGCTCATAATCGATTATGTGCCATATATAATCGATTATGGTGGCATATTTTTGCTTCCAGGCGCGTTCCTTCCTCGTCGCTGTTGTGGGGTTGTGGGATTGTTAGGATGATTTTGTGCTTCTCGTTTCATTTGTTTATTTGTTTTTTAATTCTATAAAATTCAATCAGCTCACACCCTTTCTTTAATTCTATTTTATTAGTTTAATTAATTAATTAATTTGTACTCTAATTTGATGTCACTTTAGCCATTGTCAGTTGCCATTGCCAACTTTTTTTTTAATAAATAAATGGCCACTGTTATAATGTCCCTTCCCGGGAAGGGAGCCTATTCAATATTTAATATAATACATTAGTGGAGTTTATATGTGGATAATATATAATGTGGTTCAAAGTTTTGTTTGTGCATGGATCCTATTTCTCTCGCGTCTGTCAAATGCCACATTAATTTGTTAATGAATAATGGTTATTTAATACTCTTTTTCATATATATATATATA